GCGGCCCTCCCCACCGGCAGCCTTGCCAACCAGGTGCGTGGTTGCAGAAAAGCAGCCCATCCTCGCCACCAGCCTGAAAGGAAGCAGATACGATTCAGGGTCTGGTTAATGGGAAGGAGGATTATGCAAGCGAGCAGCGTTTGGCAGGGCCGGAGCAGCAGAGGCAAGAAGGAAACAAAGAACTGTTGGTGCCATCAGAAATCAGCTGCAGTTGGATTTACAGCCCCAGCGTGAGCCAAAGGCTCTCGATGCTCCTGACTGCACACAAGCCCGGTTCCAGCTCCCACCTCGGTAGGAGAAGCACCCCAAGATGACCTTGTGAAGGATTGCCTGCGGTACGGTCTCTTGATGCATTGTCTGGGCTTGGCAGGACCTGCTGAACAGGGACCACCATCCCTGCCCATCTTGCTCTGCAAGAAAACCTTTGTTAGAAGGGTTGGACAACTCCGGGTGGCTAATTCAGGATTTAATTTGCCTGGGATTCATCCCAACAAGCCTGCCGCAAAGCTGGGATCAGAGCAGGGGCTGACCTGCCACACTCCTTGGTCAGGAGAACATCACGGTGTCACCTCAGCTCATGCCCTCATGAGGGTCTTCACCTTCTCCAACGTGGGATGGCCCCTTGCAGTACCGGGCAGCACCAGCCAGCCCAAGACTTCTGCAAGAAGCAAGGATTTAAACCAAACTCTCCTGCCAAACCATTTCCAACGTTGGGAGGAAAGGTTCAGATGAACTCAAGCGGGCTGGAGAAGTCGAGGCCGTCCTTTCATTCCTCCAAGGCTTCGGAGTCAGCAAGCCGCCTTCTCTTTTGTGCGAGCCGCCAGGACCGCACAAATAAATTGGCACCGGCGTGCTAAAAATAACCACAACCAATAGCTCCATCATTTATATCCATAGCAACATTGTTTAAAGCCTTTTTCCTGCCTGTGGGCTGTCTCACACTTAGCGCTGAATGCCAAGCCGGAGATTGGCAGCTTTCATAAGGAGCCAGAGCCTGGTGGAGAATCAAACGCCGGCCCCAAATGTGAAGAGGCTGCAACTTCATGCTATTATTTCTGGGCATGTTCATCTCACAAATGGTCTTTAGTCATACGCTATTATCATGATGATAAGCCTTCGACTCTGAACTCCTAAAGCAATAATAAAACCCAGAGCCGTTGGCATTTCTGCCATTTAAAATCCACTCTCCTTGGGGAAAATGTTCCTTTTAATGATTATTAAGCCATTTTTCTCTAGCGTCACCCAGCCTTGGAGCGCTTCCAGAATTTCTAAGTAAAATACAACCGTTGAAATAAAAAGAAGATGGCTTTTGTTTGGGTTTTTTTTTCATTATTTAGGCCTGGCCTACAGATCCCATCACTGCTCTTGCCTCTGTTGGCTTTGGGTTCATCAGTGATCAGGGCAGGCGAGCAGGAGGACCACCTAGCACACATTTAGCTAGCCAAGAAGCTCATCTTGCATGCCTTGTGCCTCCCTTGGAGGATGATGGGACCAAACAAGGTCCCCATCGCATGTCCCATCCAGGAGAAAAAAGCCCCAGCACTCGTTTAGGGCCATCCGCCCCTCACACTTGGCTGTTGGCACAGGTCTGGTCTTGCACCGGACATGGGGAGGCGAAGGTCAAGGCTAGCTGATGTTACCACCTTGGGCATGCTTGCAAAGAGCTATTTCACAAAGACAAGGTGCCGTTTCCATCCTCCCGAAGGAAGGCAACGCCAAGGAATCAACCGAACTCTCCCGAGACCCCAGCCAGCACTTTGGAAAGATGGCCTTTCAGCAATCCGTAAATGAGAACGCACACCTTGAGAGCGTGCCTAGAAGAACATCTTGAAGAAGAGCATGTGGGCAGAAAACCACAACAAAAGGTCTTTTTTTTTTTTTTTTGTCTTTTTCTGATAAAAAAGGGTGCAAAAGTTTCCACGAACATACAGCTACGACTATTCCCTCAAAACAAGTCCTGACCTTCTCCTTCACACGCAGCTCCTGCTATTACCAATTTTGACGGCGGCTCGCTTTCAGCAGTAATTTCCTGAGCTGCCAGAACCTTGTGTCTGGTCGCTGGTCAGTGAAATGTGCTTCACTGAGCTGGTTTTCTGTGCGTCTTACCTTGGAATATCGTAGGGAAGGAAGGATAAGGCTGTATCTCAGTGGGAAATGTTTGGGGAGTGGGAAAGTTTGGTGCAGGACGGTGTGACTGGGATAATTTTAATAGGCAATGGTACGTATGAATGCACCAGAGGGAAGAATTTAGCATTTTGGAACATTTTTGTGCATTCTGCAAATTTGTAAGTGGGCGATTTGGATGAGAATCAGTCAGGAATACCCAGGCGAATCTGTTTCTCCCCACTTTACCCCGAATCCCTGAGGCATTTCTCAAAGGAACACATCAGCTGCAGGAGGAAAAGAAAAAAAAAATGGGAAAAGTTTCCCAAATCCACAAAGGATGGATTGATGGGAGAGAGGACGAGCACAGCAAGCTCTTCCACCCCGACCATCCCAGAGACCTGGCCTGAAGACCCAGCTGAGGTTGTCCCCAGCCGTACGTCGACCTCTTGTAGCAACTCCTGTTGGAGCTCTTCCATTTTGCGTGGCCAGTTCAGAGCCCAACGGCATTTGCAGCGCGTTCGCACATCTCTCCGTACATGAGTGCATGGGTGGGCATGACGACAAGGCTGTATTTTCAGACAAACCCAGTGACAGACTCAAAACCGGGAGCTACAACCCAGAGCAAAGATCCGAAATAGCCGAGCTGGGGCGGGGGGAGATCTGCCAGCTCCTGCCTCCTCCCTCGCCCTCCCCTTCGTTGCTCGCCTGAAGCCCGGCTTGTTGCTGTTTTCTTTTCTGCCAGCAGCAAGCCACTCATAGAAATGCAAATCTGCTTTAATTAAGGAGGCTAATAAACAACAATTAAGATCTCAGCTCTTGTGCTGCTCCCTTGGGGTGATCCCCTCCTCAGGGGGAGGTCCTCCCAAGCCATGCTCTCCTCTCCCAACCCCTTTTCTCCCAACCATGTCTTCGGGCTGTCCATCAAAGCAGGACAAGGACATTTCCCTTCACAAGCCAGCTCAGCCGGTGCGTTTGGCCTCGTATTGCTCAGGGCGAGGTTTTCCCAGCCACACTGGGCTCCTTTCGGCATCCGAATGATGCAGGAGAGCCCAATTGATGGGGTCCCAAGGTTTTTCCAGCAGAAATTTCTCCACTGCCTCGGTCAGGCTGATTGCAGGTCATGGATGGTGGCTTGCAGGTAGCAAGTGCCTCCTTCTGCCCTCCTTAAGCCCCTGGGGAGTAATTAGTGTAACGGTTGCTTAACAAATCCAGGAAAGCGCAGAAAAAGAACACCAGGTAGGTTCTTGCTTTGCTTTTGGAGCAAACAGCCCTTCTCAGAGGCCAGGTTCACCGAGGAGATTTCCGCAGGCTGATTTAATCACCATCCAACGCCAGGGATGTGGGAGCAGAGATGGGGAGATCCTGATGCTTTGTGAGGGCTTTGCAGAAACCAGCAAAAAGCATCACAGGAGGCGAGGGGAGCTGTTGCTCCATCCCTTCCCCTCAAAGGAGGACCTCGATATCCCTCCGCTAACAACCTCCCGGCATCACCACCGGTACCTCGTATTGCAGCCACCCATGTGCGATGCCAGCAACCGTCTCCTCTCTCTCGCAGGGCCACCCATCATCTCCAGCACCCAGACGCAGCACGCCTTGCACGGCCAGAAAGGGCAGATCAAGTGCTTCATCCGCAGCACCCCGCCGCCAGACCGAATTGTGAGTAGCATCCCATGGGGTATGGTGGGTGCCCTGCACACCTTAGGGTGCCCTACGGTGAGCAAACCTGCCCCAAGCTGACCCCTCACTTGCTTGGCAGGCTTGGTCCTGGAAGGAGAACGTCCTGGAGTCTGGGACCTCCGGACGCTATACGGTGGAGACGGTCAGCACGGATGAGGGTGTCATCTCCACGCTGACCATCAGCAACATTGTCCGGGCCGATTTCCAAACCATTTACAACTGTACCGCCTGGAACAGCTTCGGCTCCGACACGGAGATCATCCGGCTCAAAGAGCAAGGTGGGCACCGCTGCGGAGCTGGTGGGGGCTGTTGGGCAGAGGGAATTAGCACCTGGATGGGCTGTAAGAGTGGGGAGATGCTGTGAGAGGCAGGAGGTGCTCAGAAAAGCTCTTGGGATGTCAAAGAGGAAATTAGGAAGGACGGTGAAAATACTCCAGCCGTGCTAGCTGTAGGATTGCATCCTTAGGGTACCTGGGCCTGACAGAGGGTCAGGAGGTGAGACAAGCCCAACAAAGTCCCTTCCTTGATAAAGTACTGCCCCATTTCGCCTGCCCTGCTGAAGATGGAGGGCATGGGCCGATCCTGCACCCCTCGCTCCCTGTCCCGTGGCACAAGGCGTTGCCACTGCCCCAGGCTGGAGGATCGTTTATAGCCTTGGAGAAAGAGGAGCGGCTGCTCCTACCAGACCCCACCACTCTGCAGCAATGGGAGCGAGCGGGAGGAAGGCGTTTGGGCTGATGGCAACCCTCCATCCCGACCACCAGCCACGATGCTAGCACACGTTTAGCAGGGCTGGGCTTACCCACCCAGCCTCGAAGGCAGCTTGAGCAATTCTCAGGGGATGGCCAGGGGATTTCCACTCTCCGGGCTCTCCATAGCAAGGGAGGGAGATGACTTTGGTGAGGAACGCTTAGCTCCTGGAGGAACTCCAGTTCTCTTCTATTTTATTAAATGCCAGGGCAGGCAGGTGGATTGTTCTCATTAAGGCATGATTTATAGGCAAGGCTGCCGTCCAGATTAAATCAGAGCTAAATGAACCCCTTAAAATTAGCCTTGGGCTTCTTCCAATGCAAACAGAGCCAGTGGTTTTTCCAGGTCGTCTGCCAGTCAGCGGGAGCGCTCAGCGGCAAGCCTGGGTCCCAGCGGAGGGTGGCTGGGCAGCCGAGCCGGGTTGGAGCTGGCAACGCTGCATCCGAGTCCACAGCCGGCTTCGTATCCGAGATCCCAGCATCCCTGTTAGGTGATGCAAGGGAACATCCCTGCCCTGGGCAGGGGGGACATCGTAGGGTAGCTGAGGATGCCATAGGGTGGAAGAGGACATCCCCTTCATGGGGACATCGGAGCAGAAAGCGGAGCGGAGGGCTGAGCGCTAAGACTGACGTGTGCGCTTGGGCCGTGCAAGGCTGTGGACACTTGCTTTATTTTCAAACAGGTACGGAAATGAAATCAGGAGCTGGTATTCAAGCAGGTATGGAAATCATGAGCTGACGGTGAATGTGAATTGTCCCCAGCCATTACCACACCTGAGGACCCAGCGTCCTCCTCCTGCCCCGGCAGCTTTCCGGCAGGGCCGGGCTGGGCCAGGCAGGGCAGGGCAGGGCAGGGCAGGAAGGGGTGTAGGAAAGCTGCAGGGCAGTGACTGGGGCACGGACTGGGAAGCCGGAGCCGTCCGGTTTCTGCTTTACCACTGACCCGCTCTGCAAACCAACACCGTCTTTCTGTGCCCCAGCTCCCCAGCCGCTGAGAGGGCGATGCTGTTACGCAGCCGCGTTTTTAAAGTGCTGCCAAAGGGCCCGCTTCAGTGCTATCGTGGGGCAAAAAAAGAGGGAGAAGTACAGGTTTCCAGGGTCATTTGAGGGCAGCATCTTAGGAGAGTGCTGGCCAACATCCAGCGCAGCCGGAGCAGGGCTGAACGGATATTTGGGCAGATGCTGCGGGATGTGCTGCCCTTGGGCCTTCCTCGTCCCCTGCACCAGTGCAGAGTTCATGGGGGAGCGCAGAGCCAGCAAACTGCTCCTTGTCAGCTCGCCCTTGTCTTGGGGACACCGTTTGCCATCCCAGCTGCTGGTTCCTGTCACTGCCCTTTTGCAGTTACCTTTATTTTTTTCAGCCAAGGAGAGCCCCGGGGCATTTTCCCCACCCCGTTCCCTGCATGATTCTCCATCATCTTCATCACCATCACTACCTGCTTCTCGCTGAGCTCTGCATCACACATCCTGCTCCCCCAAAGCTGAGAGCCAGCAGGCAGTCCCAGGGACCCCAGGCTCCTGTCTCCTCACCCTTTTGCTCTATATTCCCCTTGGAGAGCCCAAAAAATCCCATAACCAGTTACCCCCGTTGGCAGGAGCACTGCCTAGCAGGTGGCTTCAGGCCACCCGAAGAAGAAAATCCCATGAAGAAACCCTTTGCTGACTACATGGGGAAGATGCTGGTGGAATTACGACTCCCCCAGTTCCACCAGTAAGGATGCATGTCCCTTAGGAAGGCTGAAAGGCACAGGTAGGATCTGGAATCTCAGGTCCAGGATAAAATTCATGGTCGACACCAGCTCCACACCAGTGGACAGCCAGAAATGGTTTCTTTATCACCCAGCCAAGTGGCACCCGTCAGGCTACCGGGCTTTGCTTCGCAGGTAGATCACCCGTGTGTCCCTGTGATCCGGCAGCATTCATGTCCCCCATCTGCCCAGGTGAGGAGGAAAGAGGGCCACCCCTCTGCATCCAATTTTTCCTAAAATCATCCCATCCATTTGCAAGGCCCCTAAGGAGAAAACACGCATTGGAGGTGTCCAGGAAGGCGGTGAGGACACACTCACCCGGCTTAGCCAGCCATCCTGGAAAGGGTTCCCCCTCTTTTGACCCACTGTGGGTTCACAAGAGCCTACAGGGTGTTGAGAAAGAACAGGAATGAGGACCTGTAGGTATCTACTGCTTTTGGGGAGAGGGTCTTCAGGATGCCGTTTATCATCCCAGCCAACGAAGGTGATTTGCAGTACCTACCTGTGACTTTAGTGTCCTGCGAGTGGGAGTGCTGGCTGGCAAAAATCCAGAGAGCAGGCACCAACCCAACGCTTGCCGTTAAGTAGGAGCTGTGCTTTGAGGGACCGGAGGAACTGAGCAGGGAGATAACAAGGCTCTTGGGCTGCAAATCTGACCCTCTCACCATAAATGTGATTTCATATTCCACCCTCCCCGCACCTCACAACCTCCTGCCTGGATCTGCACAAATAAATCAGCTTCGCTGGCTGAGCCGCGGTCTGAAATCCCCGCCGGGAACCCAACTACAAAGTTATTGTAGGCTGAAGGATGTAACCCCTGCTCCGTAGCGGGCTCTGCTCCCCCGGGGCTGCCTCTGCAGACCCCTGCCCACACATCCCCACCCCGCAGCCCTCACCCACCTCTGCTCATCCCCGCCACGGGCCATCCCCCCCGTCCCAGTCCCTGTAGCACCCTCAGGGGTTCGGGGAAGGATGACAGAGTTGATGAACCAAGGGAAAAGACCGGAGATTGGGATATAAACCAGGCAGAGGCTGTGAATGATGGCTTTTGGGTTAATTCATCCATATATATTTAACAGCACCTGCTAAGACAGCTGAGCTACCGCCTCTGGCAGGCAGGCTCAGTGCCCGGCTCCATCCCTCCATCCCAGCTCTAACCTCTCTCCCAGTCCGCTCTGATGCCGTTTCTCTTTCTTAATAATATCAACACGCCGTCTTCTTTTGCACCTTTCATCCTTTAGAGATGCTCATTCATTAACTCGCAGAGTGCTATCAAGAGCAGTTGTTAACCTGCTTTTCTGACTCCCTCCTTTTCTCTCCCTCCCAGGGGAAACTGAGGCACAGAGAGATCAGGGCTTGCACAGATTGCAGAGCGCACCAGTGTCCCACAGACAACCCGTGCCGGCGTCACCCGCACAGGGACGAGGGAGCGGGGAAGGAGGTCCATTTGGCCCCAAAACCCTCCCCAGGCTCATCACCGAGCTGTTTTCCAGTAGCCAGGGGTGGGTCCCTTGGGGAACCTCCCAGGGGAAACTGAGGCACAGAGAGATCAGGGCTTGCACAGATTGCAGAGCGCACCAGTGTCCCACAGACAACCCGTGCCGGCGTCACCCGCACAGGGACGAGGGAGCGGGGAAGGAGGTCCATTTGGCCCCAAAACCCTCCCCAGGCTCATCACCGAGCTGTTTTCCAGTAGCCAGGGGTGGGTCCCTTGGGGAAAAGCCGCCTCTCCGACCTTCATCCTGACTTCATACTCCTTCTCCTTCCTCTTACAGAATCAGTGCCGATGGCGGTGATCATCGGAGTGGCCGTGGGGGCCGGCGTGGCGTTCCTGGTGTTGATGGCCACCATCGTCGCCTTCTGCTGCGCCCGCTCCCAGAGGAGTAAGTGTCTCCCCCGGTCCTGCTGCATCCCTTCGGGAAGGGCTGGGGCTAAAACCTTGGAGTGGGGGGACACGAATAGAGTGGGTTACAAAAAAAAATGAGAGGCTGAATTTACTGACACGGCACCGGCACAATCTGCTCCTCATGTTGGTCAACCAAATGTTGGGCGCCATTCGGCTCCGAACGGCAGCCCTGTGGGAAAGGGAAAAGGTTTCGGAGCACGTGGGAAAACACACCAGGGTAAACGCTAATCCCTGTTCGCAGCACAAGCAGCTCGAGAGGCGTGCAGGGATGTCCTGGGGGCAAAGGGACCTGCTTTTAATCCCTCCCTTGGAGAAATCCTGATGTCCAAAAGGGAGAAAGCGTCCTTGCCACTCCATGTCGGTGCTGAAAAACCCTCCTCGGTTTATGCTTTCTGTTCTACTTCTGCTTTAATTCCGTTTTTCTCGACATAAAACGCTTATTTCCGAGTGGGAAATTACAGCCGGCTGAGGGGTTTTCCATGGGACGTGTGGGTTTTGCAGCCTGGCTGCGACAGGAATACAAGTTAAAGTGACATTAGAGGCACAGGTAGAGCAGAAGGAGGGGGAAACAACGTGGCGTTGTGCTGCCTCATTAAAAAGACACCGGGAAATTAAAGGAGGATTGTTGGCTAAATGAAAAGGCATCAAACCAGGAGGGAGAACAGCATGATCGTCTGGAGCATCTCAGGGAGAAGAGATACTCAACAGTGCTCCCGGCTCGGGAGACGTGTGGTACGGACGCCGGGATGCCAGGCTGTCTGTGTGTGCCAGAAAACCCAGTTGTTTTCCTTTTCTTTTTATTTTTCCCCCCCTCTCGATCGTTTGCGGAGCAGTCAAACACACCAGGCTCCTCCTGGATTTGGGTATGAAGGCACAGCCTCGCGCCGCAGAAATGTGTTTAATTTTAAGAGTGATAATGATGCCTCTCCCTGTTTTATCCCCTGTTTTTTTGAACTCTTGCAGCCTCCGTTAACAAGTATTAACGACTTAAATGGGGGGAAGTCGTTAATCTTGCTTTTGGGGGAAGGATTGCTGATGGCTAGGACCCGAGACCTGGCCAATTCAGTGTTGCGGGGATCATTCAGCAGCGATGGACGGTTCGAGCCCCTGAAGAAAGCAGGGGCTGAGCCATGGTACCATGTCAATGGTCGGACGTAAGCGGCCATGCTTGCCCCACACCGCATCATTCGGAGCAGGGGAGAGCACGTGGTTCCTTATCTTTCTCTTATTTGATGTGACCAGATCGCGCGGGGTTCTTTGCAGGACGTAGGATTTAACACTAATGCCGTGACAACAGATCAAAGATGCGGTGCGAGTGCCAGGTTTGAGAGTCCCTCACAAGCTGGAAGGGTGCAGAGGATGGGCAGATCTTTGGGGGGAAAAAGCAGGGCTTGTCAAATGTTTCGTCACCCAAATTTCTCGGGTGATTTATCCCTTGGATTCCCGGTGGTAAATCGGGAAGAAGAGGCATTTTCCTCACCAGGGCTGGGAGGTTACGTGTTGGGAAGAGGGTACCAGGGACACGGTGGCCTGGCAGTGTTTGAAGTCCCTTTTCTCCGCTGTGTTTCCAGTGCTGTCCCGCTTAGAAAGGATTTTTTGGTCTCCTATATGCAACCAGCTGCTGGGTCTGGCGATCTTCGGCACCTCCCGCAGCGTAGGATGCTGTGGAGTCCCTGGTTGCCATGTCTTGGGGAAAGGTCTGCAGCATCCCCCGACCAAAGCACAGGTCCCTGTGCTTCCCACGGGACTTCTTTGCTACTTCCCGTTGGGATCCCACGAAGAGACCATCCAAGAGATCAGCAAAGATCCCCTCCCCGATCTCCCTTCCTTCCCCAAAGGGAAATAGGAGGAGGAACAACTCAGCCTTTCCCGGTGAGCTGGACCCAACCGGGGATGCCAGATGCTTCGCCGGGTGCTCACCGGGGCTGCCACTGGAGAGGAGAGGGATGTCGTGGCGTTAACGAAACAAATCCTGGGTGCGGGTGGCGTTACCCAGCCTGAGATTCGTGCAGGGAGCTGCTCGGTCCCCCATCACGTGGCTCCAAAAGCCACTTTGAGCTGCCAAAGCAGGGTCTCGCCTTGGTTTTGGGGGGAGCTGGGAGCTAAACCAGCCCCCGAGTGACACTCGGGGTGCAAAACCCTGCAGGGGAGGACTTGGCTTTCGCAGGGCGAAGGGCTTTTAGCCCAATTTTGCAGGTGTTAATGCAAACTGGATGCTGTGGCCGCTATCTCCGGCAGCAGGCGAGCGTTAGGAAAGTAAAAACACCAGGCTGAGAAGGTGAGGAAAGGACTTTCATCATGGTTAGCGGTGTGAAATCAGCAGAGGTATTACCGAGCTCGGCTCAGGAGTGATGGGACCGGCAGAGCACTTTGATATCAGGAGAGGGACTCATTTCCTACCAGGATGGCTGCAAATTCCTCTCCCAGGACAAATATCAGAGCGTTGTTGCATCATTTAAAACAACGGCCCGCAAACAAAACCCGTGGACAGGCTGCAGGGATGGCTCCGCACGGCTCCCGGCGGATGGGACAAGGTGACCCAGCAGTAATTCTGGAGAAGGCATCTCCTCGTCTGCCTGCAACCGGCCCCTGACTTGTTTTGAGGAGATGCAGCAAAAGCCAGTGCTGGGTTCAGGTACATTGAGCCTGGAGGCCATTTCTTACCTGGAAAAAGAAAAAAAAAAAAAAATAAATGACTTTACTGCACATCTGTTGTTGTATCTTTGGTGACTTAACGGCCTGGAGTTATTTAAGGGGGAACGCTCCTGGGAGAGGACGTGCAAGACAGTAATTAGCTTCTCCTTCTGATTGAAAGATGGAGGCTCCAGCACCAGGAATGTGATCCCAGCAGGAAAAAAAAAAAAAAAAAAGGAAAGAGCAGTAGTAGCTTCCCAGCGAAACCCTTTGCCTTGCACCCCGAGACCTGGAGACGTCTGTGGGCGACAGCAGGGCTGCAGATGTCGAGGGCATGGGACGCTGAGATAAATTAATTGAAGGCTGGAGCTTCACGCCGGTCTCAGTTGCGTGATTCAGTTTGGTTTACAGATAAAAATCACCATCTTTACCATAAAATCCCCAGCCTTTGCTGGACTGAGTGGGTGCAATCCTGGCTTGGCAGGACGGCGCTGGTTCCTTCAAGCCCAGCGGGTCAAGAGAGTTTTGGGTGCGGAAGGGTTGGCACAGCCATCCCGGGAGGTGAGAGCCAGATCGTAGGCTGGAGCTCGCCTTCAAAGCTGTTCAGATCTCGCTGCTCAGCTTTGCATCCGTCTCTGCTTTTCCTCTCGGATTCGCGCAGCCGTTTCTGTTCCTGCTGCTCGGTGTCTTTGCTTTCATTTCGCTAAAACGACTTCTTCAAAGCACTCCTGACACCTTCAGGGAAGGCAGAGAGACTCTCTCCAGAAATGTTTCTCTCCGCCCTGCGTGAAAACAGACTCCTTGGAGCAGCAGCCGGGGAATGATTTTATCATTCCCGAAAGCCCTGGCTCCATCTTTTTTGTTTGTCGCTTGGCCTTTGCCCTCCGTTTCTGCGCCTTAAAGCCGGGGAAGGCTTTTCTCAGGGGTTTCCCAGCGCCAGGGAAGAGCTGGTCCGTCCCTCGGGACCGATATTCCATGTCCTGCCCGAGAAGATGCTGTAGATGAGGTCTGGACAAACAGCCCCCCATCCGTTTGAGCGGTCCTGATGCAGCCCAGCTCCTGTTAAAATCACCCTGAGTATGGCAGAGCCTTAAGCGAGCTCCCGAAAGAGTTAAAATCGAAATCTGAGCTTCCCAGAGGTGAAAGTTTCATGTTAGCTTAGGGCAATGCAAATATTGCCCTCCCAATTCTTGGATGCGCTTAGGGTTCGTGTTCCTCAGTACTCAGATCCCTGAGGATGCTCCGCGATTACCTTCCATTAATCCCCTTCTCCGTCTCGCTCTCTGCCCAGATCTCAAAGGTGTGGTTTCTGCCAAGAACGATATCCGCGTGGAGATCGTACACAAGGAGCCGGCCTCGGGCAGGGAAACGGAGGAGCACCCAACCATCAAGCAACTGATGGTAAGGATTTACTTCTTCTCTCCGTAAGCAATTACTCCGGGTAAGTGTTTGATGGTAATGAGCCCAGGCAGGTGTAGTTCAGTGCCGTAATCCCCACTCAAGACAAAGATGCTCTTCCAAAAAAAAAAAAAAAACAAAAAAACCACACCAAAAATCTTGCTCTTGAGATGATACACATACTCCTGCCATAAAAGCTCCTCGAGTGAAACTTTGCTAATGAGGAGGGAGAGCGGGGAGAGGTTTATTGCAGTAGCCCAGCTGCCTGCCGGGCTAATTGCGAAGCAAATTTGCCACCTCACGTGGGGAAAGAGCTGCAAACTCCAAGTAGACACACAATAGGTGAGCGCAATATAATAATAAAGTAATTAGCCAGCGAGACCTGCGCTCTCCTGGACACACTTTAGAGAGTTATGTGAGCAAAAAATAATGTATGTGCACACAGTTGGTTGCAGATTGCTATCGCCGAGGGGGGTGGGACCCGGCCTGGCCCTGGGTCTGTAATAACCTGGGAGGTGTCACCTTCGTGAGGTCACTTCTTTGGCCCGAGGGGACCAAACGACCCGGGCAGGGCAAGATGCTGATGACTGAGATCCCAAGAAATTCAACTTCAGCCCATGGACCGGTGCATCCCTACAGCCCGGCCGCGGGCTGCTCCTCTCGTCGGTATTGCCGCCGTTCCCCGTGCCTCAGCCCCGGTTTGCCTTTGTTTTCGCTTGCTGGCGATGGAGGTGACAAATAGAAGGCAAAAAAATAGCAAAGAAAGGCGAGCGGCCGTAAAAGGTGAGAGAAAAGAGCAGATGGGAAAGGGAGAAGGGATTGGAGAGGCTGGCGACTGCTTTCTAGACCGCTGGGTAGTTTTTTCCTACTCCAAGCCTCCGGTTTTTTGGGCAGCACTTGTAAGCATCAGTATGCCCTGCCTGCCAAAGCCATTTGATGAATTACCGATGAAAAGGTAAGGCTGAGCATCGTCGGGTCGGCGGAATCGCTGTCTGCCGGTGCACATTTACAGCAAGGGAGCCTCGAAACGAGAAGGCAGGAGGAGATGGAGATCCGGCGTGTTATCCCAGCACCGCTGAGGTTTTCATTCCCGGTAGAGCTTTCCACGTGCAAATCCACGGCGGGATTGGCCAGGCTTTGCTGGGTGGAAGGACAGAGGAGGCTGGGACTTGGGGTTTGGAGCAATCTGCTGAGATGAAAGGGAATGAGGAGCTTCCTCGCCATAGGATGCTGTCCCACCATCTGTCTAGAGAGTGATCCACGGTGCCAAGCCCAGATCTGGCTTCCAAAGGAGAGGCGGAGATCAGCCCAAATGCCACTCAAGACCTTAACCTGGAGCTGGAAACAGGCACGAAGCCTCGACCGAGGAGACCTACAAGGAACCCTGAGGAGTAAACGAGGATGAGGATGGTGATGGGAGGCCAGGGACAGGATTTGGCAAGACATCATGGGGACTTTCTTAGATTGTTTGCCAGAGCCAGAAGGTGATATCCCATCACCGTGTGCCCTTGAGGAGGCTGGTACCGGAGCAGTGCAGAGCTGCGCTGTGCACGTTTCAATAAGGATGCTGGCAGGATGGAAATGGTGCAGAAAAAAAATGACGACATTTATTTGATAGCTGGGAAAAAAAAAAAAAAAGCCTTACGGGTAGAGGTTTACAGAGCTCATGTGTGTTAGCTTATCAGCAAGACTTCTGAAGAGGTGGTTTGGTTACAGCACGGTATAAAGGGGCTATTGGAGTGCCAGCGGGGTGGGCGAAGTTGAGCGCTTTCAGACACGACGTAACAGAGTGTAACAGCCTGGCTGCTGGAAAGGGAGGTGGTGATTCTCCCTCTCTCCCCTGGCCAAATTCACACGCTTTTCCTGACGATACAGCAGCTGGAAATCACATCGTTGGATCGACGCTGTTCAAGAGATGGTCCGTAGTCTCTGACCCCGATGCTGGGCGGATTTGCCACTGACTACGACATCCTACCTGGCAGGGAGAAGTCATCAAAGCCCCCTTCCCTGCCTGGACTAGAGCCTCCCCATCCTCACCTGCCCTCGGCAAGAGCATTCCCAGTAAATACTTCCCAATTTCTTCTCTCTTCAGAGTTCCCAGGGATCCCCGTTGTCCCTCATCCCCCCTCCTCGCTGTTGCCAACAGCCGGTGTAAGCGAGCATCCTCCTCCGGCCGTCAGCGACCCAGGCTTTGGATGCTAAAGAGATTCCTCATAAAAGACTCCAAGGTTGTCAATGAAATGACAAATCAAATGAAAATATTCCTCCTTGCTCATGAGCGGTGATGAGACCTCTCCGACAGGCGCAGGGGGGGCAATCCACAGCACCCCGTGCTTGCTCCCTACCCTCACCCCAAACTTCCCTGCTCTCCTTCCTCCCCGTACCAGCGTTATTTCCCCCGCTGCTTCTTCGTTTGCCTTCCCTAAGCTTCTTGTGATAGTTCCAGCCCGGTCTCAACCTCGACAGCGTCCTTTGAAATGATCTCCTTGCCCTCAACAATGTTCGTAACACCTCACAGTTTCCTATCAACTGGGAATTTCATTAACATGCTGGGTGCTCGCGCGGAGAGATCATTAATGCAGATGTTAACGGAAAGCAAGCCACGCTTCCGAAGGGTTCCTCTGCTTCGCATCAGGGTTTGTGATTTTTTTTTGGTTTTTTCACTCCCCATCCTGGACCCTTGGCCAAGTCCCTGAGGTCCGGCACAGCCTGACCTGCTCCTCCCACATTTCGGGAGCGGAGATTCACGCTCTGCACCACGGACGATGCCTTTGCTCCTCGATTTTCCACCGTGTCTCTGCTTTTCGGAGCATTTCTGAGTGCCGGCGTGCATCTTTCCCCCCCCCCC